GTCCAAGACATGGGGGGGCTGTAAGTCAGCGGAATAAGAGGCGTTGGGGTGGGAAGGTGCGCTGTGGAGAGGTACGCGGAAGAAGGAGGAAAGTGGGTGGGGATGTCGGCAGAAGAGGGTGGGGAGACGGGAGTGGAGAGGGCCAGTGCGGGAGGGCAAGGGGCCCTGCTGCTGGAAGCCTTTCCCGGTCTTCAGAGTCATCAGGTTCTCCCCAGAACGCCTCCTCCAGTGGGAGGGGAGGGGAAGTGGCCTGAGGGAGATGCGAGAGAGACTAGAGTCGGGGAGACACAAACTGGAGGGGCCACACATGGTGAGAGCCGGCACTACAGGGGCTGCTCGCGGGGAGAGTCCCCTCCGCGCCTGCTCTACGAGGATCAATGAGGATCAATGCTCCCGATGGCTGTTCATTCTCCACCAGCTACAGATGCAGGCGTGAGCCGGGGAGGGGGAGAGCACCGCAGTCCCACGCAGAGGCCAGAGCTGTCCTGTCTGTGACAGGGCGGCCTCCACGGCCCCTTCCAGTGGCTCTTCAATGTTATGTCACGTTCTTGTGCATGGGATGCACTCAAGTCTATATTTTTTCATTTTCGATGGCACGAAGGATGGAACCAAATTCCCTTTCAAAAGGAACGCGCGTGCCAGCAGCCCTGCCTTTGTTAGCTAGCGGCTCGGCTGGCTGGCTTCGACATGGTCTGGGTTTCCATTACAGTCTATGCATACTATACGGAGATAAATAGTAGAGGGTCAGGGAAAATAGTGTATTGTGATAACTTCTTTTAAATCATTTAAATGAGTTTCTCCGCCCGAACAATCACCACTTATTTAGTGCCTTCTCGCTCTAATGCGCAGGCAGCTAGAAAGTTTGGCCACCATTTATATAATAAATGTGTGTTTAGAAATTTCAGCTACCGATTAAAAGCGCATTTTTTAAAGCAGGTATAAAGCCAGTGGAAGGAGGGGCATGGAAGGAAAGTGGGGTAGCCCTGGAGGGGAGAACGTAGGGTCTTAGAGAGGAGAGGGGAGAGAGGAGGAGCAGGCGGGAGGAGAGGGTCCTGAGGGGAGAGGGGGTGCCAGGGATGAGAGACTAGGAATGGCAGGGAAGACAAACCAGCAGTTTTATCTTCCCTGCGAAGCTGCGAAGATAAACTTCGCTCCTATCCTCAAGTTGCACCGAAAATTAAATTTGTTTTCTTTGCTCTTATTAGACATCCTGGGAGTCTCTGAGGGGAGGCCACCTCGGACCCCCTGGGGAGCCCACCGCTGAAGGGCGCCTCACCTCGGAGCTGCTGGGACCCTCTTTCAGAAGGTGGAGGTGGGGGACAGCACCAGGAGGGGGCAGCATATAATCTCTTCATAGTGAAAGAAAGAGAAAAGAAACTCGCTCAGATGATGGGAACTGTGATTCAGAGCAACCTCATCTTAAATACTGTGTAGTTTGCTACTTATTATGGTTTCTGTTTGTTTATTGACGCTTAGAGGAACAGACTATGACAAGAATGTTCAAAGGCTCGGGAGGGAGGGCCGGCCCTGCTCTGAGGAGCAGCTGGGTGTCAGGGGGTCTTGCCCTGACTCCCTTTCTTTCCTGCCTCCTTGCACACGGGGAGGGAGAGCTTGGTTTTCACATCCCAGAATCTTCCAGAAACCAACGTCATGGTTTTCTTTTGTTGCCCCGCAGTGATGTTTACCTGAACCACTGAATGACACCTCTGACCGCTTCGTGTTAAGAGACCTCTCTGTCTCTTTTCACTTTATCCAGCAGTTGTTCATGCACACAGTGGGTGTTTATAATGAACGCAGGTCTCTCCACTGGGGTGCTCAGACGGCCTTCCTGAATGGTAATCCGGCACCCAGAGTTTCCAGCTTTGACATGGGTGTGTGATCTCCCAAGATGGACTCAGGCCTGCTTTAAAGTAAGAAGTTAACCCATAGTAGGCGAGGAGGACTACCCAAGATGTGTGAGTTCTGCCCTAACTGTGTGTTACTACCATCAGCTCAATTCTAAGGAAAAAGAACCGAAAGAGATTTCCTACTTTGTTGACTATTACAGGTGGAGAGTAGACGCCAAGTGCTTCTCCTGCGTGGTTGGTTGGCTCTGCGTTTATTGATATTACCCCGAAGCCTGGCTAGCAGCTGGTACGTCCACCGTTACCTAATCCAGCCTTATGTGATAAGTTTGGCTCCTCTAAGTGCCACAGAGATAATTCGTACCCAAAAAGTACATCAACAGCCTGGTTCTTTTGCCTAAAATGATCTTGTTATCACTCTGATTTCAACCAATAGGTTGTAAAGGAGTGTCTGTTTTCCACGTGCCAGTTAGCCTCTGGCAAAGGCTGTTGGATCGTTACACTTTGGACTTTGGTATGAACACAGAGAGCATGTACCTTTACCTAACAGGTGGTTCAGCATTGCTCATGGACTTGGCCACAGGGGCGGGAGGCTGGGGACACATGCACAGGAGAGTTCTTCAAATCAGTAGGAATGGTCATAAGAAGAGGCAGGGTGCCAGCATGGGCATTGGACTCTCAGGTAAAGTGTACCAAGTGTCCCAGAACTCTCTGGAACTTTATCATTATAACCTCTACCTTGTCCTGTTTATCTATGAAGAAGCATTGGGCAAATAAATAGATAAATATGTAATAAAAGTTTGTTGCATTTAGCTTGATTAAATGGAGTCTGAAAACAAGCATCTTGGGATAAAAAACCTGAAATTGTGTACTCCAACCCGTTACTGGTAGTTAATTTGGGGGCTGGGGTGCTGCAGGGGACAATGCAAAGGACTCTGCTTCATTCCTTTCAACAGTACACGTAGTGTGTGCAATAGAAAAGCTGATCTACATTTTTGTTGTTGGAAAAAAAAATCTTGGAGGATCAAAAATCTGAAATAAATTCTGCGGGTCTATGGACTGTGCTCCATCTGGCTCTGTATTCCAAGCTCCTAGCTGCTATGCAGCCCAAGGAGGCAGCATGCCCTGGTGTAAAAGTGGTGCCCAGCTTCCCAGCTGTGTGGCTTTCAATGGGTTACTCACCCTCTCTGAGTCTCCATTTTTCCATTTGTAATGTGGGTCTAATCATAGTACTTCCTAATTTTATTATTGTGAAGAAGAAATGAAATAATCCACTGCAATTGCTTAAAAATCACACAGTGCTTGGGATATAGTGGATGGAAAATAAATGCTAGCTATTTTATGATTACTCTCAGTTATGCAACAGTTGTTACTAGTTATAATAAAGTTATTTAATGTCATTGGGATTCTGGAGGTCTTATGAAATTCACTTTTCAGAATTTTTTTGCTAGTTCTAAAATTAAATCCTAAAAAAATGCTAGCTATTTTATGATTACTCTCAGTTATGCAACAGTTGTTACTAGTTATAATAAAGTTATTTAATGTCATTGGGATTCTGGAGGTCTTATGAAATTCACTTTTCAGAATTTTTTTGCTAGTTCTAAAATTAAATCCTCCTAAAAAAAAAAAAAAAAGACAT